ATATTTCACTCCTCTCTTCTCTCCCCGCATCGATAAATAGCGAAAACTAAATTGTGTTAGCCGTGTTCAAATCGTCGCTGCCAGTTCCTGCTTGTCGTCCGTCTCGTATAATTATGGCGAGTTTCAGTGTGTTAAACCGCGCATAAATTAGCAGCCGTGGACTGAGCGACGTACAAGGCTAGTCGAGCTGCTGCAGTGTCAACAAAGATGTATCTTCAATGGCTGAGTACAGCGAGTGCGTATACCATCAGCTTCGTGAGAGGACGGGTCCTCAGCGGTTGCTTTCAGTCGTTAAAAAACTCACCCTCTTTCAAAGTTTGAAATCTTCATATATACAACGTCAATGTGCTATGTGCGATATTCATCGAATTTGCGTAATGTAGATTTGCGTTCTACACGAAGCATGCATGCTACCAGAGCGACCATGACGAGGATGCCCGAGCGAACTTATCACCAAAGTGTTGGCAGCGAATACACGGGATGAAATGAAGTACGGCGGTGCATTGAGTGAATGGGCGGAAGGGAAAGAAGGTGGCAAATGGAGCGTTGAGGTGGTCTGCCGGGCATAAAGCCGTCACAAGTGGGCGCCGACCGCCGAGACGCCGAGGTTCTGGCCAAGACCCAAGCGACCGACGTCGGTACACGCATCCAACATCCGCCAATGACAGATTTGTAGCTAGATGATCCTCACAGCCGAAATAAACTGAGCGACATCCTCGTGAAAGTAATATCCACATTGATATTTATAAGTTCGCGAACTGTTTCCACGTTTCGAATAACAGTCGTTGGCAAATGCGAAGTTCACTTATTTTTGTGGTGCTGTTGATAGTAGTAAATTCACGAGCACAGCGTTAACGCCTAATCTCGGATTATTTCCTTCGTCTACTGTCCGCGAGTGTAGGTGATGTGTGGACCGAATTATGTCATCCTTATTAGCTATGTAAACCGCTTCATAGATAGAAAATGTCCAAGAATGGTGGTTGATAGGCTCTCGTCATGCCCAGGTTGTCGCTTGGCTCTGCCAAGGTTATTAGGATCATTACCAAATGCGAGTCAATCAATGGCGGCGTATAAGTGTACTTCCCGTGCGTTAAATTAGAAATTACAATGCAAATCAGGTGAGCTGAGCCCATTCAGGTCGCAACGCATTAATGAGGCTAAACATTAGCATATAATTAGAGTGGAGATTGTGCGAAGAAGACGTTGTAGAACCGTGACTTGATAAATCTGATAGACTGACTAATCGCGACAACTACTGCAACGACAGCAGAGCGACGCGATACAGTATCGCTGTTGGTTCACCGTCCCAAAACTGGCAACATATCTGCGCGTTGACACTACCAACGTATAAACTTACTATGTTACATCAATATCAATGTCAAAGAAAATCGCTCATAGCATTCACACGCACGTTGACGATGATAATTTGACGCTAATCAACGTCCATAAAGATTACAGAGGATTTCAGTGCGAGTTGGCCCATCCGAATGTCCAAATTTGATTTCACAACGATAACAAATTTGTACTTCTCTCGTAAAATAAGTCAAGGAGGAAGAAACTTTCAACAGAAATCTAATTTCAAGAGAAGTAAATCATGTTCTTATTCAAGGCAATCTCAGATTTTGTCGAGTCCGTAAAGTCAGCTAGAGGAGCCTACGACGACGGAGGTCGAATATAGCTTGTGGCTTGTAACACTCAATGACTCAATGGACTATATGGTACAAGTGGATCTTAAATGTGTAGATGTTCCTCCGTGGACTTTCGACAACTGGTTGGCAACTGTTCACACGCAGACTACATTATGTAGGCCTACAGAGAACGCACTTACAGTACATTTGGATACTGAAGTTATAATTCTGAACTAAACAATATAGAATTGATAACGACCACTTTATCCCAATTTGTAAATCTGATAATCATCCTTTTTAAGAGAAAGAACTTTTTTTAAGGGTTTATTTATTTACAATAGTTGCAGGGAAAACAACAAGGGTAAATTGACTTTAAATCTAAGTAACGCGCAATTTTGTAAATGGATCTCGATGCCGTTGATAAAATATTTGCCGTGAGATCGCCAGAGAGCTATTTTAATTTGCATTTTGGCACGGCTCTGGAAGGCACAGATGGTTTCAGTAATGGGGCAGAACAGCTAACAAGCATAGATACATCGGCGAAACACATTCACACGCGCCGCCGCGGCCGTCAGTTTGATATAGCACGGACACTATCACTATACACTATCACTACACACCGTCAGTTTGATATAGCACGGCCACTATCACTACACACCGTCAGTTTGATATAGCACGGCCACTATCACTATACACAATCACTACACACCGTCAGTTTGATATAGCACGGCCACTATCACTATACACTATCACTACACACCGTCAGTTTGATATAGCACGCCACTATCACTACTATCACTACACACCGTAAGTTTGATATAGCACGCACGCCACTATCACTACTATCACTATACAGTACCACTACACACCGACAGTTTGATATAGCATGCCACTGTACTATCACTATAAACTATCACTACACACCGTCAGTTTGATATAGCATGCCACTGTACTATCACTATAAACTATCACTACACACCGTCAGTTTGATATATCACGGCCACTATCACTATACACTATCACTACACAGCGTCAGTTTGATATAGCATGCCACTGTACTATCACTATAAACTATCACTACACACCGTCAGTTTGATATAGCATGCCACTGTACTATCACTATAAACTATCACTACACACCGTCAGTTTGATATAGCACGCCACTGTACAACTATTCCATTTTGCACAACCTAAATTATAAGCTTTAGTAAAATGTTTATTCTGTCAAAGTCAAGTTGTTGCTTTAAGTACCGTATATAGAGTTCCATTATCTTCGGGTTTTATTGCGTAAAGGGCTATATTTTCCTCGGATTTAATTTGTTTTCTTTATCCCCCGGTTTTTGTCTTTTGAAACGAGTATTATTAATCTCAAAACTGACGATTGAGCATTAATTGGTGGGGCCTGCAGTCTGTTTGTGAGTGACCATCAATGGGTCTGATCTTCCCCTCGCAACTCGCCTGTCACCAGCAACGCTAGGATCGATGTCCGCCAGACTTGAGGATCAGTCATTTTTTGTTCGATGTTATTAAGCAGCAGTAAAGAGGGTGAGATTTTAATATTCAGCCATCACGAGTAGATAGCTGTAGATAGAGTTGCTGTTTGCAATATACAGTGGTAAGACAGGATAGTAAAGGCAACACTATTCTCGCTTTGTAAATTAAGGTATTTTAACTATCAGGACATAATTTTATATGATTTCCCGTATGGTCCCTTTGTCAGAGGTATGTGGATTGTGAACTATGTTTTGTGTTTGTAAGGGTGAAGTATGGTCCATTTCTTTGTCAGAGGTATGTGGATTGTGAACTATGTTGTGAGTTTGTAAGGGTCGAGTATGGTCCCTTTGTCAGAGGTATTTGGATTGTGAACTATGTTGTGTGTTTGTAAGGGTCAAGTATGGCCCCTTTGTCAGAGGTATGTGGATTGTGAACTATGTTGTGTTTTTGTAAGGGTCGAGTATGGTCCCTTTGTCAGAGGTATTTGGATTGTGAACTATGTTGTGTGTTTGTAAGGGTCAAGTATGGCCCCTTTGTCAGAGGTATGTGGATTGTGAACTATGTTGTGTTTTTGTAAGGGTCGAGTATGGTCCCTTTGTCAGAGGTATGTGGATTGTGAACTATGTTGTGTCTTTGTAAGGGTCGAGTATGGTCCCTTTGTCAGAGGTATTTGGATTGTGAACTATGTTGTGAGTTTGTAGGAGTCGAGTGTCCGAGAAGGTCCTGGGAACCTATTTGCCGCTGCAGTGATGGATCGGCGAGGGTCACAGCTTCTAATGAGAGACTCTCCCGCTCATAGATTACCACCCCCCCCCCTCCGCGCTCACACACACTCTCTCTCACTCCCCCACATCTGATAACATAGCATCTCTCGCTCACTACGGGTATCAAACTGCAAACACCAGATAGTAAACAAAAAACAAACAATACACCAAAATCCGGTGTACTTGATTCTCTCTGAGCTACCCTGACGTTCTTTTAAAAAGTATCCGAAATTATTGATAGAGTATTTGAATTGAAAGGGGGGTTTTCCATACCGCAAAATACTTACTGCTTATGTAGTTACAAGTGGTGTAGTCTGATTCTTTGTAACTAAATACCAACTAAAATGAATAAAACTGCTATGCAGTACTTTCAAAATTAATTTCTAAGGTGTAACCGTGATACAGTACCTAACAATAACAATTATAATTTTGTTTAGAAAAGGAAGTTCTAAACGATTTCCCAGATTTGTAGCATGTTTTGGCCGAGACTGTATTGTTAAATATATGAAACAAGTCGATGCGGTAAAATGCAGCCGGTTTCCACAGACCAGCATAATATATCGCATCTAAACTGGAAGTAGGAAGGGGCTCGGTTTGTTTATGCGTGTAACTTTACGTACCCACAAACCCATATCCCTGTAATATCGATTTGAACGCCTTGTCAATCCAACGCCATATTTCAACAGACAATTTTCTCGGGCCCACCTTGAGGTACGGCACGACAACCAAAGGGTTGAGCGCGTGCGTGGTCGCCATGGCAACGAGGCGGTATCGCTCGCGTTGTTAAGGCAACAGAAAAGGTTCTGTGAGGAGTTTTTCCTATTTTTGCAGGCGCAGGCGCGGGCGGCAGTTGGTGAATGGTAGTTGTTGCGCCGGTCAGAGCGTCGTGCGACGGGACATGGTAGAGAGTACGAGCAATCAATAATACCACAGCGCACTACCTACACCGGCACATACACTATACCGACTTGCATTTCTTGAGAAACAACTTTTAATTAAAAAAAGCTACTTGAGTGTAATTTGAATATCCCAAAGATATAACGAAAAAATATGTGTTCTAATAATAATTTAAATTTAGTCTTATATTTTTTTAGTAAATGGAAGAATGACTTACAAGAGTTATATTCTCCAGGACTGCCGAGGAAGACGGAGGAATAGAGGACGCCTCTCCTGGCAGCCTCGGTGGCGGCACGGGCGTCGGCGGGCGACGACCACTCTCTCCGTGGACACCATTTACCTGCAACAGGTCACTGCAATGTTAGACTCTACAAGACGCCTGTTAAAATAGAGGACGCCTCTCCTGGCAGCCTCGGTGGCGGCACGGGCGTCGGCGGGCGACGACCACTCTCTCCGTGGACACCATTTATCTGCAACAGGCCAACTGCAATGTTAGACTCTACAAGACGAAAGAATAGAGGACGCCTCTCCTGGCAGCCTCAACTACAATCTTGAGTGCCTAGTAGTTACTTCTTGAGTTTTTAACAACAACATGAACTGGAGGCGTTATTTAACATTATGCTGTCGGTAAGCAGCGTTGCTCCGAAAGGGGTGTCTTTGAAAAGCACTGCTCCAAAGGAATATGCACAGTCAGCCATAGCTACAGAGAAAAACAATGACAAGCACGTAAATAGTTTAACAATTCAATTTCTATGAAGAATCTGCATAATATTCAAAAGCTTTCGTATAAACCGGTTTAGTTGAGAAAGCGTAAACAGTAGGCTAAAATGAATTGGATAAATGCAAACAATAAGTGGTGGTGTGAAGGGGGGTGAAGTACTCCTGGATGACGAGATATTAGAACAACTGAACTGCACTAGCTTATCTAAGCATAGTCACCAACAAGTGGGCTATTCGCGCGCCGAAATGCCAGGAATACTCGGGCCACCCGCACGCCCATCCCTCGCCCGAGCCACGCTCTCTAATAACAGTAATCCACGAACCACAACCTGTAATTTACCTCGGCCGTTCTTAACAATTTTTGTTGACATGGCGAGTGACTATGCGGGATTTATGGGTATTTAAAAGCTCGGGTCTGTGGGAACTGCGAGCTCCATGATTGAGGTCAGAGGTCGTCGCGGTGCCCTGATGTGGACCAATCCTTGGGCGGCCGTCACCATCGCGTCCGTCAACAACAATCATGGCTGCAACAATGGTGGCTGCACTACGTTGCAATGAAGGAAGGAGTTACAACATCTCATATGGGCTATCCTTGGACAGTTGAACGTCACTATTGCACCCGTCAACAAACATTACCATCTTGAACTAACTACCCTGGCAGTTAATGTAGAATCGTCCGTTTTACTAGTAAAGGTACTGAAGGTAGAGGTAGTAATGGTGGTAAAGGTAGTAAAGGCGTTTATCGTACATTTAAAGGTGGGATAAACAATAACCATATAATAACCCCAATGTCATGGCTTACTAACCAGCACCGACTCTTTGGTCACTGTAGTGTCTAAACGTAAACTTACACAACTTCAGAGGTGTCGATCAGGAGTCCGGCTGACAGTCGAGAGCGACGAATGCGTTGACAAAGAAATGCTAAAGATTTTAAAAATTTATATCGATTAAAAAATCAATAAAACTACAGATGATGACGAAGAGATAGATGACCTAATGTCAAGATGGATTACATTGTAAATCTCATTGTGGTAAAATCAAGCAAGGTGATGTTTAAAGCTGCTAAGTTGAACACAAGAAATCAAAGCGCAGAAGACAGCACATGCCGACTGTATGTAAGTATCCGTACTAACACCACACCGATTAACATGCGTGTACCAGAACGCATTGTATGCATTCTTCGATGCACAACACGCAACTCACAACACTACAGGACCCACTGGCCTAGTGCGGAGTGCGGCTCTGTGATGTATTCGTTTTTGACCTCGCTCCACCCCCTTTTCTTGTTCCGATAATTTATCATTGGCTTGTAGCTGCTATATTTATCTGTGAAGAGGCCCATTCTTCAGCGGCCGGCAACCTACCCCACGGTTGCTAAATGTCCCTCGCCTCCTCCCGCCAATATTCATCTTCTCTCTCTTCCCTCCTCTCCTGTCCTGTCCTACCTCTTGTTTGCAGTCTCTATCTGTGTATATGTACACGTGTATTGTATGAGTCCTGCATTAGACAATTGTTTTTCGTAACATTATTTCCACATTTTTAGCATGTTTCTAAGGTACCATGGTAAACCATGATGCTAGATAATACTGTACTTGTTGCTATATTACTATACAAAGAATCACTCACGAGGCGTTTAGAACAAGTTACTGTACCATAGTTTTGATGATATCTCTTTCACGAACACTGTTGTTATTTTAGTATTAACTCGTTCTTAAATCGTAAATAAATTAAACACTTCAAGTTTTTACTCCTCCTACGCTCATGCGCGGTCAATGTCTTAAAAGCTAAATATAAGGTTATTAAATTTATGCCACCACAATCGGAGGGAAATGTAAGTTTGTTGGCGTCGTTTGTTGGCAGCACTGACAGCGTGCCACAAAGTGACCCGGTCGGCGCTGCGCCCTAGCGGCGGACTTCAGAACCACACTTGGACTGCTTCCATCACTTCTACCTCCGTCCACCAAGAGACCTATGCCACTCGCTGTTGTAATATAAATTATTAAAAACTTGCTTTTGTTTACTCGATGGTCAACCTTATGATTTTACATACAAACATATATTTATAACAACCATGACCAATTTGGAACGTTGGTTGAACCAAATGAGTTTGATACACATATGATTGTTAGTTTGAAAAACTGGTTTGCTGAAGGTAGCAGAACAATATGGCACAACGACATTTATTGTTAAACTATATTATATTGTACTTAGGTCTGTGATTGGTAATAATTCTGTTTGCCAAGGCTGAGAAATCCAAATAATTGTTACTATTGATTTTTGTAATAAAGAAGCTACGAAAAAACCGAGAAAAAACGTATAACTTAAGATAAAGCGAGTAGATTCTACGCTTAAACATCAACGTATAGTGGGGGTATGTCTAATCTGTAGTGTGAGTGTGGTGTAAATGTTGGACAGCTGTTGACATCGCTCAGTCTTGTACAGCTCCTGGTACATCTAATACAGCAATGTACACAATAAATACGCCCGCTCCAGAACCTACAGCCTACCGTATGAGCCAATACTGCAGTACTGTACCCACATATTGATATAGGGGGTATCAAACCAAAATATGCAAACATGCCGTGAGGGATATATCGAATGTCAGAAAAAAATACAAGAAGACCTACAAAACTGTGAGTTTTAAGTGCAAGGATGTATTTTTGTATTCATAACCGACAAACTATGGTGCGTATACAGATTGACGTTGCATAGTAATAATGAGCTGTAACTATACAATTTAAGGTTTTAACCAAACTTTTTCAGAACACACTTATTAATAACAATACAAGTTACGAATAATTGCATGCCCGAATAATTATTTCTGGCTGTTGAGTTTATAGACTTTACATGTAGAGTGTTCTGTTTTAACCTACGTTGAAATTTCATTAACCACACATACGTTATACCAGGTGATTTGGCTTTAATTACAGCGAAATGCTCTAGTAGAAGTAGGCTTGACGACATAACAAATATAAGGTTGCGCACGAGTTCAACATCGAAGAGAAAATGAGAATTTATTATGAATAAAATTTTAAACAAAAACTAATTCTAACATATTTCTGATAACTAATCTAAATAAATAACTACGGTAATGAGTATAATCAAATACCAACTAACATTTTTACAAACCTAAGTAAGGGTTAACGATTGATGGTTCCTTTATGCAGAACAAGATGTTGTTCTGGATGATTGTGTTTATCACGGTAGTAAACAAGTGTTCGCACTTTTGCTTAGGCGTTTTGTAAAATTAAGACTTCCAAAGTAGCCCATCCAATGCCTCTCACTTGAAACAAGAGGTTGGCCCTTTGTACGAAATATAAAATTTAAACGTAGAGATTCTAGAGTACCATAGCACATGGTTATCATTGGTGTAGGCATACTATAGATTTTTTTTATTTAGTTTTAATAACCAATTTACTTTTCGAAACTTCTTGTTCTGTTATTTTGAAATGTATACTATTGACTTTTCTTATCCTACTATGTATTTGGTGTGTTGTATAAATATGGTTGTATACTGAAACAATATAAAACTATAATTGATTTGGTGGTGTTGCTCGAGAAAACATTAACGTAAATCATACTTTTGTACATGAGCACATGCAACAATAGTATTTTATTACCGAAGTTGTCATCTTAAACGACTTTCTGTGTAAAGAGACCACATTACACACATGGAATATAATTGTGTCAAGATGTTAAGTATGGTAGGTTTGTGTTACTGTAAAGTGGACAAGGGAGCGGCAGTTGAGAATGATGTAAAGTGCAACAGTCAGTCTGACAGATGCATCATACATTGTAGAGGGCATCAATAACTGATTGACAAGATCAAACGGTTGACCCGACGCGACCACCAAGTCTTACGTGTGCAGCACCAGGTTATCACACTGTATGCTCACCTGTGTGTTACTGTAAAGTGGACAAGGGAGCGGCAGTTGAGACCTGCCAATGTACAACTAGACTGATGTAAAGTGCAACAGTCAGTCTGACAGATACATCATACATTGTAGAGGGCATCAATAACTGATTGACAAGATCAAACGGTTGACCCGACGCGACCACCAAGTCTTACGTGTGCAGCACCAGGTTATCACACTGTATGCTCACCTGTGTGTTACTGTAAAGTGGACAAGGGAGCGGCAGTTGAGACCTGCCAATGTACAACTAGACTGATGTAAAGTGCAACAGTCAGTCTGACAGATACATCATACATTGTAGAGGGCATCAATAACTGATTGACAAGATCAAACGGTTGACCCGACGCGACCACCAAGTCTTACGTGTGCAGCACCAGGTTATCAAACTGTATGCTCACCTGTGTGTTACTGTAAAGTGGACAAGGGAGCGGCAGTTGAGACCTGCCAATGTACAACTAGACTGATGTAAAGTGCAACAGTCAGTCTGACAGATACATCATACATTGTAGAGGGCATCAATAACTGATTGACAAGATCAAACGGTTGACCCGACGCGACCACCAAGTCTTACGTGTGCAGCACCAGGTTATCACACTGTATGCTCACCTGTGTGTTACTGTAAAGTGGACAAGGGAGCGGCAGTTGAGAATGATGTAAAGTGCAACAGTCAGTCTGACAGATACATCATACATTGTAGAGGGCATCA